TATATATATTTATTATTATTAATATTATTATTGTGTGTGTGTGTGTGTAATATATAAAAACTGTTTGAAAGTGTCCTCACTGCCCAGAGCCACCAATCATGCTCCAAGTGTCAAATCCATCCAATAATTTCTCTATCCACTGTATGTGTAGCTTGTATGTCTCTACAATGTTGAACATTTTAAATTAAACATGGAGAATGCAGATAATCCAACTAATCAATTTTGTAGTTTCTCAGTTTATCTCAGTTACTTCACACAAGGTATTTACTAGCAAAGTCACATCACAGAGCTGTAATATTGTAAGTCATGTCAAACAATGTGCAATCTTGTATAATGGCGGAAACAAAACAAACAATCTATTTTCTGTTGTCTTGGGGATCTGATTATCATTGCATTTCAACTAGGGATTCACCGATACCGATACTAGTATCAGTATTGGTGCCGTTGCTCGTACTCGCCCAAATGCTCCGATGCCTAGCCCGATACCCGAACTTCTGGTTTTAGGAAGCCGGGCAGCGAATCATTACATGCTGCTTGGCTTCCTGATTGGCCGGAAAGCAGGCTCCATGCTCCCACGTCACTAAGTTCATAGAGGAGGCTTCCCGGCCGGGCAGCATGTAATGAATCACTGCCTAGCTTCCTGATTGGCCAGCTTCCCGACCAATCAGGAAGCCGGACAGTGAACCATTATCCGCTCCCTGGCTTCCTGATTGGCCAGAAAGCTGGCTTCATCCTCCCTCGTCACCTGTTACTGAGGGGGATGAAGCTGGCATCCCGGGCCAATCAGCAAGTCAGGCAGCATTTAATGAATCACCGCCTAGCTTCCTGATTGGCCAGCTTCCCGACCAATCAGGAAGCCGGACAGCGAATCATCACACACCCCCTGATTGGCCAGAAAGCTGGCTTCATGCTCACTTGTCACCTGGTGACGAAAGAGCATGAAGCCGGCTTCCCAGGCCATAATGCAGGCAATGTTTTGCCACGCTTCCGATCGCACTGCGGGCGTGGGGGCCGTGCCGTTGACTTCGATGCACCACCAGGCACCCTCCCGTCCCAGAACGAAGGGGGAAGTTTTATGAGCTATTGCGATGCGTTCCAGCAGCTCCCGCTCTGAAATGCAACGCAATTGGTGTGAACAAGCCCATAAGGAGATGTTGTTCACCTTTTTATGTTTTTCTGAAAAGGTGAACTAACCCTGTAAATGTGCTGTAGGTGTCGCACCACCTACTCAACTGTAGAGTGATGCAACCACGGATTTAGGTAAGGGGACATTGAGCTTAGGATTTTTTAAAAGTAACATGTCAATTAGTTTGGGGGTGGGAACTTTGTGCCTGGAGGTCATCTTTAAAATGGAACTGGACAATTTAATGGTGTCCCAAAACAGGCAACCCAACTGTTAAGTTTGCCAATGTGTTTATTTCAGCTCTCAACCCAACTTTCAAGTCTTCAAAGGTTAGTGTCATGGACGATCCTTTGTGTAGCACCATGACAACATCCAAGTAGAGGTTAAGATGACACCTTCCTTGGCTCTAAAGAATAAGAGGTTGCAGTTCCACTTTAATGTCTGAGAGAGAGGTACCATTTCACACAGGCTATCAACCAATCCAGGATACCGAATTACAATAGCAAGTTGGTACCCAAGTTGATTTTCTGTGTATAGCATAAATTCCAATATCTGATTATAACTCATTACAACATAGCGTGGCCTCCAGCCGTTTGAGATGTAACCACAAAAGTCTATGAAGTAACTGCATAGCAGCACAGCAAACAACATTCTCCGGAACTTACTGTGTAGTCTTGAATTTACAAACGGCGGTGAGAGATTGTCGTGTGAAGTCATGTCCCTGCTTGTCATGTGTTCGTAGTGAGATCCTTCCCCGTAGTTCTGCTGATATCAATAAAGAGGGAGAGATCAGCAATAGTTCTCTGTTTTCAGCAATATGTATCATACACAAGATCAAATACATTATGGGGGATGCATGGAAGGCTGGACAAATCCCAGGAATCAGGTAAGCCAAGGCACCTCAAAAAGTTATAGCACTAGCTAAGTTTTGAAAGCCTTTTCTATTGCTAGCATTGGAGGAACTTTCCCTAACTTCTTCAAAAAAGTCTGCTAGTATCTAGACTGGACTGAATGTCACCTGAATGCATTATTTATCTATTGTTTATGCATATTATAATAGAAGTATGCAGGTGAGAGTTCCTATATAAACATAAAGGCATGCACACAAATACATAAATGAACATGCAAACATATGTAAAAGTATCCCACACCTACATACAGAGGACACTGTGGAAGCTGAAGATAAATTAAGTTATCCCTGTAAAACTCAAGCTTGGCCCCTTTGTCCTCCCACCTCCCAAAATTCCCAATAATCATTTAAACGGACCTTTTACACTCAAAAATCAAATTCTACCAATGCATCCCTCTATGTACCATGATTAATAATAACATAGACATGTCTGGTGTAAAATGCTGTGATTGTGAAATACTTACAATTGCAGAACATTCACTTCCTGTTTTGAAAGTGCAAAATGACTTCAGTTTGGCAAAGCAATGCACACTGGGATTGCCTTGTCATCAGCAGAGCATTGCTGGGAAATCTCATCTGTACTCTCATGAGATCTCAGGGAAAGGCATTTTCCTCCCCTGAGATGGTCACATGTCCTAGTCACATGTCTAGTCACATGTGCCAGAAATCCAGGAAGTAAAAGGAGAGCTAGTAACTTGGCCTTAGTAAACATGGCCACTGTGAGAAGACTGGGGAAGAAAAGAGAAACCAGGTATGCAAAGAATACAAAGCCGGCAATTATCTAGAAGTATGTGTTTGTAGATTGTCATTACTAAACATTTCTAAAGGTGTGCTTGTTGTTATTTTAAACATATGGGTAAAGGTTCACTTTAACACAAAGGGAGGCCCCACTGACCAACGGGGAGACTTAGGAAGTAGAATGTTCTGGGGCCAAGATTTTTACAGGATGAGTTCAGATTTTTGTATAACTTCTGCTGCCTCTTCTTTTGGGCCTAATGATCATTTTGACAGGTCATTTTTCAATGAAGGTCAGAGGTGCATGTTAAAAAAACTAGACTGGTCCCATGAATAATCACCTAACAGTCTGTAAACCATCATATCACCCTGGCCAACCTTACAGAAGAATCTTGAATTTACTGAACTCCTGTTTTTTTAGCCTTTTCGAAAGTACCTGCAGTCACTGTTCACTATGATAGTTAAAGCTGAAGTTTAATCTGCTTATATTTTGCCTTTCATGGGTCCCCCACCATCAACATGCTAATGAAAATGTTAAATAAAACTATTCTGTTTTTATTGCATACTTTATTTTAGACTTAGTGATGTCATCACTGGGTTTCTGTACTTCCTAATGCATTGCACACAGCTCCCGCCTGGTGGGAGGGGCCAGCTGTACATAGCTTCCTGAAGAAGTTACAGCACCCTGGCTCCTGTCAAAGCTTACATGTGGTCAATGCCTGATGCACAATGACTTGGTGACTCGGCAAATAATGGAGCTTTGGAGGATCAAAATGACAGGCAACTAGGATTATCAGAATGTGCTCAGCAATACTGGCCTATAGATTTCTCTCATGACAAGTTTTCTAGTGTGCCTTTTAGCTCTACAAAGCAAGTAAGATTTTGTAAGATCCTTAGACTGCAGGTCCTCAGCTTCTTCACCAGCAAGGAAACTAGTGCACGTCACAGGTTTGCAATGACCATATCTCACTCCATATCTCGAGGGACTAGCAGCAGTGCCTTAGAGGACCTCACACTGTAGATATACAGCTAAATGGCCCATAGCACAGGAACTGCACTGCTATTTTTCAGGATAATTTCTAGATGATTCCTATAAAATGCGATCTAGACAACATAGCTGAACTGGAAAGTGAGCTGAATAAGGGAATTTTTCCAAATCAGCTATGCTGTCCTATATTGTTCACTTCTCCTGCCTTCTCCTAACCCTTCACCCTTTTCTGAATAACCCTCTAATTGTTTGTGAATTCAGGTTCATTTTTAATGGGAGAGGAGAGTAGTGACTTGGAGGATACACAGGGTTTCCTCTGTTCACTCCCAGCGAGGCCAATCTGTTGCTTTCCTTGCACAGGCAAAGCAAATATTCACATTAAAGGATAAGTTCATCTTTTGCGAAAATTAAAGAAATGCATATTTAATAATATAAAAAACTATATTCTTTACTTTAACTTTTGCATTCAAGCCTAGAAAGCATTGCAACTGTGATCATTCGATCAGGGCTGCAAAGGTCAGGCTTCTGCACATTCTCTCCCAGGCAGAGCTTGTACTGAGGTACGGAGTTTCAGTTAGGAGAGATGGGGAAGGACGGCTGGACTTCAAACTGCATTAAATCACCTCATACAGCGTCCAGCCATCCTCTCTCTGGTTAGATGCGGTAGAGTTGTCCTTAATCCCATCCAGCCGTCCTTTCCCATCTCTCCTAACTGATACTCCGTACATCAGTACGGAACTCTACCAGTATAAGAATGTGCTGAAGCCTGAGCTCTGCAGCCCTGATTGAGTGATCACCGTTGCAATGCTTTCCAGGCTTAAATGCAAAAATGAAAGAAATGCATATTTTTTTTATATTATCAAATATGCATTTCTTTCATTTCTGCAAAAGGTGAACTTAGCCTTTGAAGCTGCTTCCGTCAGATACAGAGAAAATGTCTGTATGATAAGAGCCACTTCTGATGTCAGACGTACTCATCACTCCCAAGGGTCACCCTAAACAGCCCCATCCTTGACAAAAACTGCAGAAGTTAACTGCCAAAAAGTTTATGGCCAACCTTAGCGTGTGACTTACAGACAGACTTCAGGGAAAGAGGACATACTTATTGGGGGTGCCTGAAGTGACACCACATGCAATTTCCTAGCTGCACTAAGATTGGTGTGATGGTTTTTATATTTCTTCAGGGTATTGCTTTGTGCCACAGTAAGGGTATGCTACACATGCCTTTCCGTTCTAACTGGAAGGTAGCCAGCCACCTTTCCTGGAGCATGGGAATGAGTCAGCCAGTACTGTTACACTTTGCAATTACAATGCAGGGAATACTTTGAAGGTCTTTCATTAGGGAGCACCAATGATATCTTTACATCACTTACAAGCGTTTAAAGGATCTTAAACTGTTGACCTTATTTTTGTATCAGGCATGGAATGGGACTTTTTAGCCAAGTCATGTACCAACACAGATACATTATACAGACAAGGCTACTTGGAGAAGACCTATTACTAAATCTACATTCCCACCTAAACTGGTGATACATTTAGATGTGTTTTGCATTACCATTCATCCCTATGAAAGGTGCATTTTGAAACCACATCAAATGTATCACACCAAAATGTAGCCTAAAAACTGGCCATACATAGCTAGCAATTTGGCCGATCCCAGTAAATTAGCTGAAATTGGAGTCATGGGTGGCCTTGACGGCCCCGCCAAGCTCAACAAACTTGATTGAGAAATTGTCAGTTGAACATTGGCTGCAGCCAATCAGCGACAGTCATCACTCATGACTCTATAACTCTCTATTCCCCCATCCTCCCTATTTAGTGTGGATGGGGGAATTGAGCAGTTTTCTCTCGCCCCCAGGCTGTACAAGGAAAAAAGAAATGTGTATGGCCAGCTTAAGGACCATGTCATGCTGGCGATTTTGTAGAAGCAATCTGTTTTTTTTTCCCCCCAGCTATCACTCACTAAGGAAATCAAAGTTATCTACTATGTAATTGTTAACTCGCTAATTTAGCTCAGAAGCTCAGTCCCTCAGCAATACGGTTTGTGCAATGTTTGTCAGCAACAAGATTGCCAGCGACAATTGCTCTGCAATCACCTCAATGGCTTAGTTACAAATTGCTAAAGGACAGTGATTTGTAGCCGTGAACACTAAGTTAATGAAGTATCACGGGTTTGACCTATAGGTGCAACAAAACATGTCTTTGATAGGGTAGGGAATGGTAGAAACCTTTTTATTTCTAATCAGGGAGATTCCCCTTCACGTGTTGTGTCAGACACAACAAGACATGAGAGGACTTCTCTCCAAAACGAGGGAAACTGACCTCTTCACCAGCATAGCTTTACACATTGGAAGATTTCTTATCACCGTCTGTTCCAGTGACATTGCAAAAATGTTGGGTTTCCCATTCCTTGCTGTACTAGAGACAATTGTCAACAGAACCAAAAGAGAGCATGACTCTCCCCAGCAGGGGTAGCAGGAAAAGGTTTTGGCTTTACATATTGTTTCAGTAATGTGTAAGCAGCCCAGAACCAAAAAAGAAATTAAAAAAACACCAGGCATATAAAAGGTTAGCTCAACAACTACAAATTGAACCAACCCCCTACAAGTTCAGTAGACAGCTCAAAAAACTTTGACTTTCAGTTGCAAACTGAATGTCCTGATCTATATTTAGCAATTTAATATTAATAAAATATAATGGGAATGACAGAAACAGACACTGGCTCAACAAATGGTCAGATGAGGCAAAAGGAATCAGTCAATTAGGCCTTAGCCCTCATTCACATTAGAAAAGGCCGTATCGGGCAGCTCCCGGGAAGGACAGGTGCTGTGTGTGATTAGTACGGGAGTACTATGGGAGTACGCGGCCTACGCCGCCCTACGCTCACCCCAAATGCAGGTCCGTACGGGTGCGTGTTTCCTGGCTCGGACGCAGACAGGATCTATCGGACGTGCAGGGCGGGTGAGCGTAGGGCGGCGTACAGCCGCGTACTCCCATAGAGAAGGATGGGGGCTGCGTACTAATCACACGCAGCACCGGTCCTTCCTGGGAGCTGCCCGATACAGCCGTGCACGCGGCCTTTTCTAGTGTGAATGAGGGCTTAGAGTTAACAAGAAGTCATGGAAACCATGT